GCTCTCAGGAAAAGCTGATCTCCTACATCAAGTGCATGAGGCAATACGAGGCATTGGCTCCTTTTGTAATGGAAGTTGCAGTGTACCTCTCCCTCCATATAGGACATTAGACAAAAAACATAGACTAATAATGGATGGCATACTACTGGAAACCGCTCAAGGCGACTTGGCTGTGGTGAGAATGAGGCCACCCAGATTGTACATTCAATCGTTTACGTGAATTGCCTTTCATTACCGCGGCAACAATGACTTTCTGACAGGACTGAAATGACTTTGCCAGACGAATATTGCAGCAGACACAGTTTGCAATTAACTGGACTTGTAATTGAAGTACTGCCGCTGAGTATTATGGCCCAATAATTCACTATAATCAGGACAATGATCACAGAGACTGTAAGGGATATGTGCCGTGTCCCTTACAGTCGAATCATTAAAAATGTTCCTTCGCTTTTCAGAAACTCACACAATGGACAACTCAACAATGGTACATTGTGCCAGCAGCTACAATGGCGTGGCTTCTCTAATCAGTTTGTGATATGGAGGAAGATTTCAGTTTGCTGGAACAGAAGTAGAAAAAAGGGTTTAGGGAAAGACCTACAAGGAAATTGTATGAGGAAACAGAAGACAATCACACATTAACATAATGCCTCAACTTGATGTTTATTGATATCCCTGTATAAACATTCATAAAAGGACAGTTCATTATCACATAAGGCGAAACACATCACCGGGTCTATCCATAATTGAAAAGTGATGACTATAAAACTTTGCATAAATTAATTTGCATGAAGATCCTTTTACATGAAATGTGTCTGTAAATGTGAGGTTGCTTGGCCTTTCAGATAGGCTCTGCTTTAATCAGTTTGCTGTCTGGGATTAAAGAGGGAAAAGAAAATAGTTTTCTGGCAGCCACTGGGTGTGAGGCTCTGTGCTCGTTCATTCTCTCTTCAAGCAAGGCCGCAGGGAGCTAATAAACAAACAGCCACCATAACTTTAACACCATAGTTTTAGACATAACTCTTTGCTTTAAAGCTTGACATCCAACCGGCACATTTTAACGAGGACTTAAAATGACAACCATGGTATAAATCACATCAACAGGCCAAACATTTAGCTTAACCTGAGGTTGACTGTTTGCTATCTGTCGAACACAGAGGTTAGGCTCTCCCATCATACCTTTACAAAACTAATGTGCAAAGAGGCTTACTAACGTGTTACCATGAAATCGTACTCTGTAAAGCTTTTGAATGCTTTTCAGGTCTTTGAACACTAACCCTCTATCATTTCATTTTGAAAAAGGAAGACGGCTTTACTATTCCTCGCTATTCCTCTCCTTGCTATTCTCCATGGATACACAACCTTTTACAAAGACCTAGCTGGTCCCTCCACTGGGTGCCTTCCCTTGTGAAAGAGCCACTGTTCTCTGGGGTTCTGGATGCTTGGATCATCCTGGTCCAAAAAAAACACTGTTTGTAGAACCAACATCTTTGTTCTCTTTAACATGATTATGCATGGTGTAGAAAAGCAGTCTGTCCTCACAGCTCTGCTTTCCGGGCCATCACATAGGAATGTACACACTGCCTTTTTGAGAGACACACATCCTTTCATTGCTTTACAATCAACTTTGATACTGAGATATTTAAGGAATTATTCTCTACAGAAAAGGAGAATAAGCTATATACAACAAGGTTGAACCAGATCACCTCCTTTTGAGTTATCACACGCTCTTCTATCAGGAAGTACAGTAACTACAGAAAGGTTCCGCTGAAAATAGCACAAGAGAATAATGAAGTCTCCGGGCCTGTACATGCTTAGTTTCCAGTAACAGTTGAGTGACTCAGCCGTCTTCACAAATCATCTCCACGGAGAGTGGTATCACTTGTCAAATGCTGAATATTAAATCCTATGTATCTTACAGAACTACTGATTGGGAATTAAGCAGAATGTGAAGTCATCGAGTTAATGTTAGTGATGTGTGTTCACTCCCAACGAAGCGAGACAACTTCCGACCTGCACACAGATAAAAGTCCTGTGAGTAAGTGATGCTGTGACCTTGGATTTCTCTCTCTCTCTGTGTTCCTGCATCAGACCATTCATTCACACTTAATCTGAGGAATGGCTGTGATGAATGCATCACAAGCAGGGGGGTTTGAAAAGTGCTTACGCTCAAAATGATGCATTAATATGACAATTGCTTCCGTAACTAAGAAGCATGTCTGCAATACAAACACACACGTAGAGGAGCATTAAACTCTGCACTGATTTTAATAGCACAATCTGCGCTTAGAATTTGAAAGAATGCATCAATTGCAGCCCATTATCAGGACACCGCATAGAAACGGAGTCACTGATCGTATGGCCATCCATTATTCATTAAAATGGATAATTACACTCATTACGGAGTAGACTATTAAACTCAGTAGCTGCAGATGTATGAAGTCAGAAAGTGACTTCAGATAACAGCCGCAGACAAATGCATATCTGCGTTCACATCAGTATGCAGGAGAACGAACACACACACACACACACACACACACACACACACACACACACACACACACACACACACACACACACACACACACACACACACACACACACACACAGCATTACAGGGCATTGTGCCTTTTCACCCAAGCTTTCTCAGCACTATTGGAGTTTGTGTTGCGTTTCAGAAGTGATAGCTGGCTCCATGGCCGCTGCTGGGATCGGCTTTTCCCTGCAGGTGCTGACAGGACACTTTGGGAGGTGTCTGCCTCCCTGAGGACCTCCATAGGTGAAAGCCGAGTCCTGCTGGCACCAGACCTGTCTCACCACAGCACAATGGAGACAAGTGTGGTTCAAAAGGTCTCAATAAGTGGTGCATAAATACATTTAGGGATGCAATATTGGGTTCCCCTGGTAAAACTGATTCCAAAAATTCCGCCCACTGTGGACTCAAGTGCAAAACAAAACCATTATGATATCTAATGTGTGGTATCTCGGGCAGCCTTCAAATATTTACTAACACTATAATAGCGCCTGTCGCTGATAATGATTTAACTCCTTTGGCTTCAGGGTTTCTGTGCCCTGCAGGAAAATTGGGTTCATTTATAACTGTGCGGAAGAGATTATAAGTATTCTTTGATCATGCATTTTCATAATATTATCACACAACATTCATTTATTCCAATTTACTGGGAGTGAATAATAGTCAGCCTACCTTTCCATCACCTCTTTTTCATTTCAGCAGCACGCAGCAGAGATGGGAATGTGGTCGCACTTTGCGCACAATATGAACCTCTCGGTTTCTCTGTCTACCTGACTGTCTGTCTGTCTGTCTGTCCCTCCCTCCCTAGTAATCGCAAGTCAATTGAGTCCTGTAGTGAGGGAAAATCCGTTTATCCGCGAACTACACGCAAGGAGCTGCACCGCTTGGCTGTTTCAATCTTGTGAGAAAGCGCCTGCCTGACAGCGCCTGATAAAGTGGAGATTTACTCGCGGACAAAGTGAGAAGCAATCCCTCACACTTTAGCTTACTCCATCAGTTTTTGTGCGCTCTATACTGGTCCGATGATTTAATATATCTCCAGTTTCTGGTGGCACGCCCCCCCCCCACACACACCGAAATCTTTCTCCCCATAAACTGACGCGCGCAAGAAAACAAGCATTATAACATAAAAAGAACAACATTTTAAGTATGCTCCACAGCAGCAACATGTGATATATAACATATTATCTTAGCCTTATTACACAATTATGGATGCAAATCATACATATAAATAATCATACAATAATGAACCCACTAATAAAAGAGAAATACTATAGGCTACTGCACAGCTTACCTGGATATTGCACTTAAGTATGAAGTTCCAAAAGGAAGATACGAGGATGGAAATTCAGTTTTAACAATGGAAATGATTGCGTCAGAGCAGAGGCTATTTCTGTTTTAACTCAGGTTCACATGGGACATCGATAACTCATAAGGGACTAGGTACCACATAATTGCCTCCCTTAAACTAAAATTGCTGCATTTCTCGTAAATGACTGCGATTAACCAACCTACTGTTGGTCAGAGTGGATATTCCGGGAAAAGATGTGCGTAAAACGCACAGGTCCGGAGATCAGTCCATGGGCACCTTGAGACGAGCCGAGCAGGAGTGTGTGTTGTAGTGCTGAACGATATCCCCTCTCGTGTCGAACAAACCTCTGTTATGTCTCTGTATCGCGGGTGTCTGTCTGACCGGGCTGCTTCATTTGGTATCAGCCCCCCAGAGGGTGTCCATCGATGCGCACTCAGTGAGCTCACCCTCCCTGTTGCTGCTGCTGCTGCTGATATAGGCTGGAGATATACAATTTCACATTGTCGCTCTTTTTTCCCTGACCTTAGAATTCCTTGATGCAATAATTCCACGACATACTGCAGGAGTTTTGTAGACTCGAGCGATACATAACCTTCTGGCACAGCCTTTGTGTTCTTGGACCCAATAAACCTGGTTTGTTAATGCGCAGGACACAGCAATATTGATGTAAATACAGCCGGTAATGTCGTCAGACATTAGCAATTCTTACTCTCCCAGTATACAAGAAATGATGACATCAATAAAGAGGAAGGTTGCAGTAAATGAATAACCGAATTACCTAATGTATCTCTGAAATGCTGTCATGAGTTAGTGTCTGACTTTTAACTTTAGGAAACGTTACTGCCTCCAAACTGTGCCTGTTAATGTTAATAACCTAATTTGTGATTTCCTACCTGAACCTTGCATGCTTTGAAAGTGATCTTAAATAAGATAAAATTACAATATCAATAAAAACTACCATGATATAATCACATTTTTAAATAACTACTTTTGGTGTATTTACTTTTACCTTGTTTAACCAATAGCCCAAATAGAAGAGCATGATATATTACATTATGCTATCTAAACGAACAAACCAGTCGCCCCGCAGTGTACCTCTTGTTTGACTCAATCTCCCACAATGCACCACGAGCAACGTCACAGTCTTGCGACCCAACGTGGATTTGCAGCAAAAGGTATATCGAGATTCAAACGTACACATTTTTAACACGTATTGACCACTGCAGCTCCACTAGAGAGTGCGTGAATGTTATGTTATCCTCTATTCTCACCTCAGTGGTCACTTTAACGTTTTTCGGAAGACGTTTTAACACGTTGTTAGTGTCGCTCCAGTTCTCCACGAGCCACTTCAGCACCCTGCATTCAAATGAAGTTTCATCAAGAAGGAAAAACAGTGGACTTCCTGTTGGACGCTTCCTTGCTGTATAAAGAAACATGCCCGGAGCTATCACGGTTCTTACTGTAAGAAACTTTGTTTAAAATCCTACATTAATTTCACTTTCACAGGTGCTGCTTTCTGTCGTGTATTGTTGTAATGGCAGCATGTAGCCGCTAGGTGGAGTAGCCGAGCAGTGTTAGCTGTGGACCTCCTGCCTGTAACTGTGTTTATATGGACTGCTGGAAACAGTATACTGATATGTTTCATTTGACTAACATTAGTTTATCCCAGAGTGGTGTCTTTATACTTTCTATACTTTATCCATTTTTAATTCTGTAAATGCTAATAGAAAGAGCCAGTGGGAAAAATAAATGCTCTGATTTAACATTTAACTTTAGATTCTTTTAACTAGAATGTTCCTTTCCTGTTCACTCGGCATATATGGGAGTTAACACTGAAGTAGAATAATCTTTCTCTAGTTACACACAGTATATTGTGATAATTCATTTTATAGACACTCACAAATTGAATAAAGATATGTTTAACAAAATCACACACATTTAGGCTTTTCTTATATTGAAATTGATCATATGTGCTTGGTTTACTAGCATATATTAATGACTGTAACAGACCATCAACAGTATTAGAAAGCATATGTAACATATTTATTTGATGCCTAGTGTTACACTATGTTTCAAGAGACCTGTCAATCAATTAAAGTGTTATAGCATTGCTCTTTTAACCCTTAACCACTGGAAAGCTTATTATGTACAGTTGTTTGAGAACTAGCTTTTTCACCTTTTACATTTTAAATTTGAATATGGCTAGGTAATGTGTCACATGCATATCACTCCTTTTGAAGACTTGCCCATATGAGGATAGGTAACATCCACTTTGTTGTTGGATCATTAGTGACTGATGAACATTCACAGCTTGGTGTATCAGTCTTTTTCCACCTCCACATTAAGTCTGAGTAATATTTGGCTGTTGCTTGATTACTGACTTTTTTTCTTTGATGATGCCACATATTATTGTTGTTATACGAAATTATCTTCTTATTGTGAAGCATGGCTGTTTGTTTAGTTCCAGTGGCTATTCCCATTATACGATACGATATACTTTATTGTCCCTGTAAGGAAATTTGTTCTGGACTCCGTCCTGCAGTTCCGCATACATATACAAACATAGTAAACATTAAAATACATACACATATCATAACTCATACACCGTTTGAACAAACACAATACACAGACGCACATACTGACAATGGCGACCTATTGAGAGGGCATTGTTGACCCTGACGTACTGAGTGCGATTGGTTAAAAAAGAAAAATACCCAAGATAAAAGGATTTATACTAATCTTTATCAGTTTTTGAAGCAAGATGTGAGGCTGCAGTGTGTTAAAAGCCGAGCTAAAATCAACAAACAGTAGGCGTGCATAAGCCTTAGGGTCTTCCAAGTGTTTAGTGACCAGGTGTGTGATGCTATTTAGAGCATTGTCTGTGCCACGCCCTTGCTTGTAAGCAAACTGAAAAGGGTCTAAATGTACATCTACCTCTTTCTTTAGCAGCGGCACCATGATCCTCTCAAAACATTTCATGACAATGGATGTCAATGCAACAGGCCTAAAATCATTGTTTACCTTTGGACAAGGTTTTTTGGGAACAGGTGTTATTATTGATGTTTTCCAGAGGGTGGGGATGGTGTGAAGATCAACAGATTTTTGAAATATGGGACACCATGCTGATGTCAGTTCTTCTGCAAATGTTTTGAGGAGGAATGCAGAGATGCCATCTGGCCCTGTGGCCTTCTTAGTACAGGTGTGCTTGAAAAGTGATTGGCCCTTTTAAAGGGTCAATCGCCACCCTTTCATCCTGGTCAGTAGCAGAGATTGTCTCTAAGATGTCTGTACATTCAGAGGAGAAGTCCTGGGTTTCAAATCTCATGTAAAAGTCATTCAGTTCATTTGCTTTTTGCAGGTCATCAGAGGTACAGAAAGTTTTTTTAGCTGGAGTCATATTTGTGATTGCCTTCATAGTGTCCCAAAGTTCCTTGGAGTTCATTGTAGAAAAGTTCTGTTCAATCATTTCCTTATGTCTCCTTCTAGCTTCTCTGAGCATGTGATTAAGCTCCTTTTGCACACATTTCAGTTGCGTTTTATCCCGGTTTTTAAAAGATATATTTTTACGATTGATTATACGAGCTGGTTGTGCCCAGTGGCTCATGTGCAGTTGAATGGCCTGGGGGATTTTGTGCAGCATGTGTGAGCTATTGCAACTGATGAATTCAATTTAAACGTACTCTTATTAAATCATGTGTATTTTCACAGTGAGTTTTATATTTCATTGGTGAGGTCACAGCACCTCCCTAACAAGCTTAAACATGTGAACAAAACAGAGAAAACGAAGTGCTGCCAGCAAAGACAATTCCTCTTATCATCGGGTAGGAGAGCAAACAGAACCTCGCCTCTTCTCTTTCATCTTTTGCAAGGTTGCCACAAGGTCTCATAAAAGTCTTTCCCAACTGCCTTTATCTAATAAGCCTCCGGTAGTCAAGTCTTTTCATCCTTATTAGAATAAAACAAACTAATGAATGCCGGTTCTTAAACTGCGTCATCATTCACAGTTCATTGCTTCAATTTGTTTCTTTGCCAAAGTGTATTTCTCTGATGGCGTATCCCACACATTGGTGATTATCTTATTGTGAGGAAAGTCAAAGCTGAATGTAATTTCCGGAGAAAGCCACTTTAGTCTCTCTAGTGTGTGTGAGCCCTGCCACTCACAGGTGTGTCTGCGTGCTTTTCTCTATCATAATGGTGTTTTAATCCATTTGAAGTGTGTACAAGTGTGTGTGTGGACTTTGAGTTGGGTTTCAACCATGTCCCCACATCCTCCAGGTTGTTTTCATTTCCACCTGAGCCAGGAAATCTGTGGGCAGAACCATGAATGGAAATCAAAACAGAGGTTTTAACGGTGAAACCCCAAGTCAGGGTCATTTTACGGATGTGTGCGAGGCCAGTGCTATTAAAATACATCGATCTATTCCCCAGATTTCCTGGCTATGGAGGAGCTGTGGTTAAAGAGAACATTTCGACCACATTTAGCCTAACTGTGACCAGCTGTCTAGCAGGCAAGACACGATTCTCAATGTTTGGACCAGTAGCTCAAAGACCTGGCTGGTTTCATGCCAAAGTGCCTGGCAGAGAAGACACAATAAGCAGCCACAGCAAAAACTCAAAAGTGTGATGAGCTAATTGAATTTTGAATTTGATCTTCAGCCAGCGTGATAATATGGAAAGCATATCAGGAGGGAAATGAATGTAATGAAATAGAGTTCCAGATTGAGATCTTGGACGCAGTGGATCAGTTAACGGAGGGGAAATGAAAATGTTGTCGTCAGCATTGCTCAAATAGCTGGCATAAGCGTTGAGTGTGTGTTGAAAATGCTTTTAGTCCTAATGAACCGCAACTGTCTCTCCATGTTCCTCTTGGGCTTTCCAGTGCCTTCTCGTCTCCAGTTATGGTTTTGGTCATGCGTCACTGGAGTGTTTTGGTCGTGGGAGCGCGTCTGCACTCATAGACACTACTACACATATTTGTGGGAGATTGTGTTACTGCCTTCTGCCGCTGTCTTCACCTTCTGTCAGGCTGATTATTAACTAACGTGTTTTTGTTTGTGTTTGCATCAGGGCTACAATTGGTTAGTTGTTTTCTCAGTCTTGATTTCAGTACACAAATATAAATATTGCCTTGTAGTAAAAGCGTTCATGAAATTATTCCAGGCGAATGTTTGTGACGGCCTGTTTGGTCCTTGTTTGTGAACTGACATGACTTTATTGTGGCTCAAGTCGCCAGACTAGTGAACCTGTTTCCAGTAAATTCATAGTCATAGTTATTTGTTTGGTAACTGGAACCGGACTGGTCTCATAACCAAAGTATGCAAGATGTCTGCTTGACAAACGCACAGTTACTCAACTATTAAATAGCCTCAAGTGTTTTTGTTCCGCATTAAGCCCAGTTACATGCACTCTCAATAGAGACCATAAAATCGTCTTATATTACCAATAAATCAATTATAATCTCATATTAGCCAATAGTATTGGAGTTCTGATTCCAGTAGAGGTCTGTGTTCAGTGGACAATATTTAAAGTAGAGTACTATTATTTTATTGATTATTTTTATTATCAAATGTTTTGACAGTTTTTTCTGAAATAATGTCACGTAAAATGTCAGAAAATAGTGGAAGAAATATCCTTATGGTTTCCCAAAGCCCAGGGTGGGGTGTTCGAATCCTATCCTGAACCATGCTGTGAGGCGGTCCTTAAGCACTATGTTGTTTTTACTTTCACCAAGATAATGCAACATGAATATGTTTGGCAGGTATAATGTTTAATATGTGTACCTCAGTTTCTTAGGTATAAGTTTAATGTGGAAGCTTGCTAATATTTGCTAATAAGCACAAAACAAAGTACAGTTGAGGTCAATAGGAATGCCATTCGTTTTGCAGGTATGTTGTCATAAACCCAAGTATTAGGTACATTACAATCAAACCAAACTTAACTTGACATAAATTATTCAATCAAGGGGCAATTACTACTTTGGTCAACATTTTTCGCTAAATGTATTTTGTCCTAATGCCAACATCTTTTGAGACATGGCACAGACTTTGTGTCTCTCCGCTACGTCTACACACATGAAAGTGACTCTAGACTGTAAGAAACCTGCTGGCCTCTTTCTGTCACTTCCAGCTGTTTAATAGCAACACTGCCAGACTATGCTGTAGTAGGATACAATATCTAGTGTTCACTAATTGTTGCTGAACACACCTCTAGCCGAGCCTGGCTGTTTGTGTCGAAACATTTTTGAGTTAAGAGACTTATTATGGTTTTTCTTTTTTTAAATACAGCAGCAGTAGCACTGTTACCCTGATGGTAGCAATAACATGTTCATAGTGCTTTTCATTGTGTGCTTTACCTCAGCTAGCGCTTCTGTCTCTAATTACATTAGCCAACTCTCCCCCCCCCCCCCCCCCCCCCCCCCCCAACCCTTTGGCATCTTTAAGGATCACTTTATGGCATCTCCCAGTTATCAACAGTTCATGTGTAGGTCCCATATCTCCAGTCACCACAACTAAGTGTGCCCTTAAAAGGAGATGCATGACAAGTATGATAATTAGATCGGGGCAATGGAAGAGTTTCTTTTTGCGGTGTGCAGTTCCTGAAAGCTGGTTTATCACTAGAGCAGCGGAAGGAGAGGTTATGGGAAAACAACATCTGAAAAATCCTCACAGTGGAGTCATCAGTGGTTTGTTCACAGCCTTGTCAGAGAGTTTGCTCCGTCAGTAGCATGAACAATGTGTCCTTTTATGAAGTGTTTGTCAGTGGTGTCAAGTACAATTTCTGATTATTCCTGACGCAACTACCTCAGGAAGTGGCAGACATTTATATAAGCCAAAAAAGAAGAAAAGCTTTCTCGGCAATCGTCAAAAGTGTTTTTGGGGGAATCTTTTGAGGCCTGTGAGTTGTTATCCATCCTCTGCGGAGCCACAATGCACCACGCCAGCCTCGAACAACTCCTCTTCATTTCCAGTGTTTTCCTCAGGGCTTCTATATAATATGACAGTTTTAAGTCACTGATTATTAAATTGTGGTGGATCGTGCGACGGTGACTCAGACTGTGTGAAAAGTGATGACAGATATGTAGTAATCCTTCTCCACCCACTTAACGTCATACAATACAATGCGCCATCTCAAATGTAGGGTGGTTAAGAAGGCTAGTGGAGACCGTCAACAAAGCGCTGACAGCATACGCAGCTGCAGTCAGTGGGTCAACTCCAGATTAAAGTCGACCCCCCCCCTCTTCGTGAACAGCCAGCCCCCTTTCCTGCCACACGTGCAGCTGGACAGTACATTCCCTCTCATTGATTCAAGCCCAGGGCTAATTTAGTGGGACTTAGCAGTAGCTTAGTTTGAATATTTGCAGGAATATCTCATCGCATGCTTTCCAAAGTTGAAGGCAGCCTAGTGGTCAACGGGTAGCTCTGTAGTGGGGGGGAATAAAATGGTGTGGACATTTGCCTTGTATTGTTTTGGAGAGGCCGGATGCTTTCCACATTGCTAATGGGAAGATTTGTTAGTCACAAGCTGTTTTCCAATGTGTTTATTTGCATGTATTTTAACAGCATTGTTAACTGTCAGTTCCTTTCAGCAGATTCTAGGGCTGTGCGATTATGGCAAAAATCATAATCACGATTATTTTGGTCAATAATTGATATCACGATTATTAAATACGATTATTCATTGACTTTGAAAACATCCATTTATTGAACTTTAAAACAAATACAAATAATAATTTGAACAGTATCTTATAACTGTTGATTACCCTGAACGTATAATTCAACTGAAAAACTTTAAATAAATAATATCAAAATAATAAATACCAATAAACAAGATCAACAAATATTTTGGAGCGCACTTCCAAAAGCTACTTATCATATATAAAAATATGATAAATACAAATAAATTAGACCAAAATTAATCAAATATGTTGTAGTGCACTGTCACAACCTAGCAAAGCAAAATAATTGTTTAATTCGATTATGTTGTTTTTGTAATTGTGGCAGGCCAAAATCGTAATTGCGATTAAAATACGATTAATTGCACAGCCCTAGCAGATTCATACATTGAAAGCTACGTGGAACTAACTGATTCCAAGTATCCTTTCCCTATTACATTACCTTGTTTACAGTGTGAAAGGCTGTTATGCAAATTGAAAAGGGCATTTTTTAATAAACACATTTACATGTTGACTTATATATAAATGCTTTTCCCAAGAGAACCAAAAACGTTTTAAATATAAGTTTGACTTTATAATTATCTTTTACTAATGGTTTTTACAGGGTCGTGTACAAGGCCAGTTGACGAAGCAACAGCCAATTTGAATTCATTGAAAAAATTCTTTATATTTATATTTTTTCTTTATAGTAAAAATGCTATATACAAAAAGATATTAAGATGAAATACAAAATCTAAATAAAAAGAGGTTTGTCCCACGCGTCTGGTGTATTATTACGATGCTCCGTTAATTTAAAATCAATTGTTCTCATGGAAGCTAGACTTTTTCTAATATTTCTTTTTGTATTTTTGATTTTTTTTTAAATCATATAAAACATGCTGAAAAAAGTTAGATCAAATTAAATCACAGTATTCTTGTCTGGTATGAAAAGCATCCGTTCAAAATATCTGATCTCGTCTCTTTTTGTCCTCCCTAGGCAGTGTCCTGTGAAGGCTAACGGTAAGTAAAACACCTCCTGGATGAATCTGACTTCTGAATTACAATGTTTGTTCTGTTTTAATTTCGGCATGTTTTCGTGAGTGATGCCCGGGACTATAATAGCTACAAACAGCTGAATGCAGCAGTAAGTGGAACCTTGTCACCAGCTTGTCTAGGTTGATAAATCTCACTTTACCCACAGCCAAACACAGCCACATGTAGCAGTCTGCCTGGTGGGATCTCTCACACACACACACACACACACACACACACACACACACACACACACACACACACACACACACACACTCACACTCAGAGGTACATGCCAAACAAAGCCACATCAGTAGGTAGTGGTGCTATTTAGTGCTCACACTGTCTCTCTTTCTCTTTTCCTCAGAACAACGGAAGCACGGTCCCTCCACTCTGCTGCAGAACACCTCCGTGTGTCAGTACTGTTATCAGTGGCTGCATCCAAACAATTATCGGATGCGACTTCGACCAAAACGGCGTCCGTCGGCACGGGTGCAGAGTCTCCTGCTCAGGAAGGCCCGGGGCAAACGACTCAGCCTGATGCAGAAAGATTTGCTGCAACGCTTCCAAAAGTCCTCCTCTGTACTGGTGAGAACACAAAACACTACAACTCTGCAGAACACTCAGTTATGTATTGCACTGCACTGCAGCATAGTGTCCTTGCAGAGAAACACAGGGACATATTCCTGAATTGTATCCTCAGCTGCAGTGGTGTTGAACTAAGTTAAGAAGACTCTTTGACCTCCGACCTTCGAAGCAGGAGAGACAAAATCATATCCCAGGGGTGCAACATTTCTTATAAAATCATTGATTATCGTGACAAAACAAGCCCTGCATTGTCTCCTAATGTATTGTCTCCAGGCGTTGTTGCTTTTTAGATTTATGGACTCATTCGTATTCATTCCACAGAAAGTGCCTGGTTTCATTATGGTGCTCCGCTCATCATTGCAGTCTTTACAGTGGTCCCATTATGCTTAACTGTAAGATAACTAATGTTTCCAGACAGTGCTTTGTCAACACTCAGCCTGCTCCCTCCCACAGCCCTATAAAGTGTTGCAGTATTCCCTTTTGACTGCCCTCGTAATGGATGGCACCAGAATGGAAAGCTTTTTCTTTTTTATTAGGGCCAGCACTCACCCACTCTACTGATAAGGACATTGGTTGTGGAGTTTGTGGTGATGGGGTCATTTCCCCCCCGACATCAGAGAGCACTGATAGGAGAGAATCAGTGAAGAGCCCCTCTGGTGAGCTGACATCAGCCCTAATGAAGAGCTCTAGTGGAAATGCTGCTGCCTCATTACAAATCTGTTTGGGTTCATTTAACATGCAGGTATTCATGCAGGCACTCTGAGCCCACAATCCACTATGTCAGCTGACTCTGAGGAAGACAGAGATGGAGAGAGGGATCATGATTAACAAGGGAAGAGAGAAAAGTGGACGAGAATAACAAAGGAAACATAAAGGGTGAACAAAGGAAAAAGTTAGAAGGCAGATAGACAAGAGAGGTGAACAGAAGAAGTCAAATGATGGACTGCGCGAGAAAAAGTAATCTTGTAACACAATTTTGGTTTAAAGAAGTGGCTATGTGCTTATTCCTGTTCTTCTTTTGTGGACTGGAGTTAAGGTCAAATCCAGGTCTGATAGGGAAGTCATCTGGAAAAAAAGGATTTGAGAAAATATTTACATTGAGGATGTATTTTAGTGGTCAGCAAATAACATATTTCCAGTAATACACAGTTAAAATGATAATTACGTTTTCCAGAGGCCCCAGATTACCCAGACTGCCCTAAATATAATGATACAAAGCATTTTGTTAGACACCCCTGTGTTGTAGAATTAACCTTGAATCTTGAAAATCAATATAATAGTGCGTACATTTGCCCTGTTAGCAGTTTTAGGGGATATGTCACTCCTTGACAGTTCTAGTGTTAAATCGGTGTGGCTTAGTCAAACATAACTGTGTAGTCCCCTGAAGGCCTCTCTACAGAAACACATCTGGGACTGAGGACCTCTCCTCTTACTTATTTGTAAACAATGTTGACTTCATCATTACATGACTTCCTAGTAAACCAATACACCCTGAGCTTGTGCTCTGAAGTATTTTTACCCTTTATTTGCTCGGGTCACTTGACTGTCATGTACTCGGGGTTCAAGGGGCAACGAGTTCTGCAGTGGTGTGATAGTGAGGCGATACCCTAAAAATGCAGAGCGGTGAGATAAGAGGAGGAATGTGGACTGCTTTCCTATCGTTGTCTCCGTGGCTGTTTGCTGATGAACAGAGCACAACAAACCAGACATGGAGAGGAGCCTGAATGAGATCCGCTCGTCTCCTTTTTAAAGAAGCAAGCGCGGGGTAGTTAGGATGACTGGATAAGCCAATGTATAAGAATTTTCTTTTTAAATCGTCAAAGTTGTTCTTTACAGTCTACAATGTCCACAGACTTGAGAATGGTTTCAGTAGCATAACGTGCCGCAGCGACCATGAACCCTTAATAATGTTTTTTCTTTGTTTTATTCTTGCATTGTTTTATTACAGTGTGCTAGAGTCGAGTGTTTTGGCTGTGTACACATAGTGTTCTGCCCTTCTTACTGTTAGTCGCCTTACATCTACAGGAAGTAGTGGGAGATGTATTGGAAGAATAATCAAAACATGCTGTTCTATAAATGTATTGTCACATTCAGGCCATGTTGTGTGCAGGACGAAGCTGTCGTTTATTCAGAACACGGTGTGAGTATTTGCAGACATCCATGTTTGCTTGTGTTCTCAGTCTTCTTCCAAGTGTCAAAACAATTCTGTGGAATCTTTTATGGGAGGGTTTGTGGGAAATTTTGAAGAGCTAATTGTTATTATGAATGTTTTAAAAAAAAAAAAATCTATTTTGATTAGGCCAAGTTGCATTATAATATATATTTATATTCAAGCTTTTGTGAGTAAACTGTAGTCTTCCCAACAATATGTGTAGTACTGTAATAGGGATATCAATGTTAACATATCCCTGCCTGAACACAAATAAAGCATGCACATGACCAGTATAATGTTCCCCTTCATACACATGGGTGGTGTGCCGTCCCTCGGGGTGTAAATCCCCTTCATTTCACACCATACTGCTCTCCCTTTAGGATGTGTGTGTGTGTGTGTCGCCCGCTGGGTGGGATGTCATATGCTTTCCTCAGCTCTGTGAAGCGGTGTCTTTAGAGGTATTATAAATCAGCCGTGTTTATGCATGCTGGGCAGGTTATCTAGCAATGGCTCTGGAAATACGTTGGATTGTAGCTCCACCAGAGAAGCAGAGACCCTAAATGGAGCGAAACATAGCGCATACGTCTCCTCCTCTGTTCTTCTGTTCTTCTGTTCTTTCTTCGTGAGCCTAGATTATGCTTTCCAGCGGAGTTGTTTGTTACAAAAATATGTAGTTCAGGTCTTTCCTGAACATGTACAATATTGTTGTTTTAGATGGGGAATGTATGCCTTGTTTTTAACTCAACAGTTACTTACTTTGGCAATAAAAAGTGATGCTAGTAGCTCCCAGAAGAGAGAACTGAATATGTTTACTGAATGTGTAGTCACGATGCCTTCTAAATAAGTGTTGTAAAAACAACACTCGAAACCCTTGATGGAACTCGTAAAACAACACTTGTTTTTCTCTGAAAACAACATTTGCTTTCAGAATAACAGATAAACCAGGCAGGAAAAAAACAAATTGACAGTACATAAGAGGTTGAAAAACCTTTCCCTTTTCCCGTAAGGGCCATTTCTTCCTGACGTAAGTCAACTCTCTTTGTGTGATTTACGTCACCACTTCTCTGACCTCACTGGCCACCTCTCATGCTCTCGTTCACTCTTCTTCTGTTGCTGTTTTACCTCAACTCTTCGACCTGACCGCCCCTCTCACATTCATCTTAATCTTTCTTCTCTCCTCCTTCCATTCTTGGCCATCTCTTCACCACATCCCTCCGTCATATTTACCTTTCCTGGAGTTATGTTGTTGGAGAATGTGCCTCATATGGGGATGACAGGAACCAGGAGACAGAGATGTCTGGCTGTTTCTTCGCCTCTGTTTTCTCTCAGGGAACACCAAAAGCTCCGCCGAGGGTTTGGAGGCCTCGACGTTGGGCAGCGAGTGACAGGATGACAAGATGGGGACATGTTTGGGAAAAGAAAGGCCAGGAGGGAATCTGTGGTAGTGGCCTTGAGATACAAACACAGGAGACTTGCTGCAAAGAAGACACTCACTCATGTCTCACGTGTTTAGCGATATAACAAAGTCTACATAAAGTATTTTAAGCAAGTTAACACAAATACAAAAGCAGCAGCAGTCGTGGGAAGTCAGTGCCAGCTGGGACTGTCATGATTCCTTGGAAGGCTTCACACACACACAAGCCTTGCATAGTGAAGTGCGCATTGGTGTTGTTTTTTTGCCCTGGGCTAGGATCAGTTTCTGATCACCGCTGTCATCATGTCTGTAACCCAGCTTAAGACTTGTTGCAGCTCCAGAACAACATGTCATCTGTCAATAATCCTGTTCAATTAGTTGCCTGGTCACTATTAAAAGCCTGCTCTCTAACTTGGAAATGGCTCCTATAGGCTCTAATGTGAGTTGGCATAGGTGTCAAGGTTTGGAAGCCGCCACTGTTTGGTTTTCTGATCCTCACTTAGCAATATTTTTACGGTATATTGCTCCTGTAACTGATTCTGACTGCATGTAAGAACATTATTGTCATTCAACACATATCTGCTGTAAAGCCACACTTGTGCCATTAGTTTCCTTTTATATTGTCCACAGAGGAGCTCCAAATCTAACAGCTACACCCTGAAGCACAGCTGCTCCACCCAGGGACAGATGCATAAAACCGTGGCACCACTAAAACATGTGGACCAACAAATGATATACAAACCAAAATATGCATATGCATTATTTATGTCTTTTGTCAGATGTATACATGCCTGGATCTATTTAATACATCTCAATTGTGTGCATAAGCTCGATCTTTACTTCCACAATGAAATTCTAAATATTATTTTACACACACACTCACACACTCGTTCAGAATGCCCTGGAGAAATGCTGCACAGGTAATATTTAACACATTTCTTTGTTCTGAAAGTTCTTCTCAGGATATTTACTGAAAGGATGTTATCAGGCATTTTCCACAGTGAGATATCGCTGATTTATTGCCTCCCAGATGTTCATTCAAAAACTCATATGATTTACTAAAGCATTATGAAAAACCCTATTTTATTCGATCCGGCTACTTTATCCTACTTGACTATGCCATACATCTTAATTTAAAATGTAGATATCTTTGTTTGTTTTGAGGCAAACCTGCTGTTGTGCTGCAGGATGAAACGTGACTTTTATCCAAACAAAAGATATAGAAACAGATATGACTTATTTTTATACATATCAGTGTGTTTGGTATGGGGTGTCTCGGTGTGTTTACCGTGCAGCCTGCCTCCAGACAGTGTGCCTAAGTGGCTGCCTGCAACACCACGGCCGGCCTCGTATTGATCCCCAAGCTGCTCTCGGCTCTATGGTGTTGTATTGATGTGTTCTCAAATCACTTTCACTCACACACTGCGTGTAGAT